TGTGTTTGAAAGAGGTTGTTGTGATTAAATCTATCAAGTCTAGCAAGGAAATTATAAAGAAATCTACAGGAAAGCAGCTCAGCAGCACATAACTTGTAAATAACATTTATCTTAAAAAACGAATTAGTTTTGTGGAGTGCATTTTTTTCGTCATTCTTTAAAATGTCTGTAGAACTTAAACCTTCAAGGTAGCGCTTTACGGTAAATCTGCATTTGTTTAGTTGCAACCCTCGGCAATGAATGTTTGACAACAAAGTTTGTTCTATCAGTTCTGAGCTGACTTTAGCTGAAACTTTTTGCCTGATTTTATTTGAGTTTCATATCCTTACAACTTTTATTTTGGTAACACTTCATGATGTTACACTGGCATAAACGTGACACAACTCCCGTGATGAACATGAAGGCGTCTTTATGAATGTTTATGACTGAAGTGTCATGAAGTGTCATTCTGTAAATAACGACACTTTTAATGCAAAACAGCATTAATGGTTGTATTAAAAGTGCATTAAAAGTGTCACGTTAGCATCATTTGGTAATTACATTTTTTATGCAAAGTTGCACTAAAACTTACATTAAAAGTCAATTAAAAGTGTTGACCTTGCACTAAAAGTGTCATTATTTACTGAATGACACTTCATGACAACACTCAGACATTCATGAAGACTCTGTCATGTTTATGACAGTATCATGTCAGTCTGAACACCCCTTCAAATAAAGTATTACTCTTTTTTTTCTCCCCCAAAACAATTCAATTTGCATTTAATATCTATTGAAATATTTATTAAGTCTAAAAAATTCCCGTATGAGGAGTATTAGTGGAGTAGCTTCTTGTTTTCAGATGCAGAACATCAACATGGTACCTATGTGGGGAGCAGCACAGCAACTTGTCTTTCGAATGTACAAGGTCAGTCCATCAGCCCATGTTTAGTCTCCATGGTAACAAACATTCTCACTGACCAATAAGATTTCGCCACATTGCATTAATGCTGTGGCTTTTCACTGAGACGTGTGCAACAACTTCAGGATGCAAGTTTCTGAACAGAAGCGCCTCTTTGTCTCCTGTATGGAAGAATGTCAGCCGCCAGCGCCGCTAATGGCTTCATATAGATTTAGAAGCACTGTCAACGAACCTGTTGAAAACAAATATTGAGCTCTCTTTACTTGCTGCTGTGAATAATCCCTGCTATTATCCAAGGGACAAACATTAGCAGGAAAACCGTGGTGTGTTTGTTTCCTGCGTGTCACTTCTAAGCCTCCTGTTTCTCTCGTCATGTTTCCTTTTTCCCCTTGGTTACCTTTTATTGTTCTGTACTATTTGGGGTTGTCTGAAAACCAATCTTCATTCAGTCATTTGCATTCTAACAGTGCCAACCAGAACATACCCCGATAGGCCTATATATTTACTTGGATCACCATGTACTAACTCTATTATACAAAACCGAAAGGTATCCATAAGTGCTGAAATCAGGTGATGGGTGTTTGACATGCTGACCATTCTTTTGTGTCGACTGCATGAATGAGCACACGCTCGGTTTTAATCAGCAAGCCCCATCGTCTCCAACCCCTTGCATCTCTGCTGGCATTTGCACTGTTTTGACCGATTTTTAAAAAGATTTCTGCACGTTTGTTTTTCTGTACTGCACCGATATGCTGTATTGTAAAAAACAAAACAAAAAAAAACAAAACAAGACTGCTGTTTTTATGTTGTTCACATTCAGATTACGTACAATTTAAAGACAGTCATCCTCCTCAGTTGCACATCTCTTGGTTAGTGAGACAATTTGTCCATTCTGATAACTGTACAGTATTTTTTTATATCATCTTGTACAGTGTATTATTATTGTTAATCTTGTTTTTTTTACATATAATTTTTTGAAAACATTTTTTGGTGTTTTGTTCACCATGGATTAGCTCCATTAAACAAAGCAGAATCAACATCCCCTGATGCTGCTGTTGCACCTGAATTTCCCCACGGTGGCAACATAAATGCTATTTCAATGCTATTCTATTAATAAACATCATCTTGTTCAAAGAATGGGGTGGGTTTTTTTCCTCACAAGCAGTTATTTCCAAGGAGATGCTGAGCCTTTATGTCAGCTCCTTGTGTTCAGCTGAAAATGCCTTTGTGGTTTTTGTCTCTGTAACTACAAAGGACAACAAATTATCTGCTGATAGGATTAAAATCATACATTTTTGTTGTATTTTTTTTTTGTAAGCTTCTTTAACATTGACAGACAAGTCTGCTGTTATATAGACAGTTTATATTATAATTAATGCCAATAAAACATTGTTGTGTGAGTACACACACATTAATACATTTTGATTTAGGATCAACTAGAAGCAAACGTGTGTGTGTGTGGCCATGTAGCATGCGTTAAAATGCTTTGCACCAAACACCATCATCACTTACATCAAAATTCCTCCAGCCTTATTTCAAACCCACCAGATATACAATCCTGATATATAAAGAAAAAATAATGATGTGAAATAATGTGAAAAGGTGACTTAAAGTTTTTTTCCTGCTGTACTGCCTCAAAACATGTAAAGAGGTTATTTCTGAAATAGACTAAGCAGCAATTACAGCTGCCAGGCCTTTTTGGGCTTTTTTTTATCATTGCCAAGATTTTTTTTTTTTTTTTTTAATCCAGTCTTCTTAAAATAGCTCAAACACAGTCACATTGGACGGAAACTAGCTTCTAGTTCAGTTAAAGTTTTTAAGTTGCATTTAGCTCTAATCCTCCACTCGGACAATCCTACCAATAAATCTGCCCTCGTCTCGTTTTGTAGATTGTAGCGCCGGCTATGATTAGGGTCACCGGAGGGTGAAGCTCTGCCACGGCCTTGAGTTAAGAATCCACATGATGACTTTTGGAGAGCAGCTATTAGTCGCCCCTGTTGACACAGCGACTCACCTCAGCAGTGGATCTCTTCATCGCTGCTGTGTTATGATGGGTTTCTCCTCGTTGTCACTGTAGGTGGACAGCCATGCCTCTGCTACGTTTGTAGTCGTTGGGAGGATGGACTGATCGAAGCTTGGAGTGTTGTTTTATAACCCAAACCCTTTTTTTAAACGTCACCACTAAGTTTCTGTCTTTGTCTTTGTTCATTGATGCTCTCGAATACATCAGTGTGGGTTTTAGCTTTGAGTTAGGTTGTGAGTTAGGTTGTGACCTGATTATGATTATGAAGGATTAGGCTTGGCAATCCTTGTGGAACAAGTTGTAGGATTAGGGTTAACCCTAACCCTACCCGACACCAAACATAAAGTAAATTGAGTACTAAAATATTTCAAAGATAAATGTGAAAAATGAAGGAACAAAGAAACAGTCAGTGAGGAAGTATCAAAGAAATGGTGTAATGACTTTTTTATGGATATGACGCTGCAGTCAAAGACCTGAGTAGGTGTTGCCAGCTCTCCTTTTGAACTGTGCAGCTTGTTAGTTGTTTTTTTTTTTTATCTTCCCCTGTTGTTTGTTTTTCCTTGAAGATGGACAGTATCCCAACAGCTTTGTATAAGATGTAGCATAGGAAACATTTGAACTATTCTAGTCTTTTGAAGTTTTGCAATCTGTTCCTAGGAGATAAAGTTCTGAACGTCTTTTATCGCACGAGAAAGAAACAATAGGTTGACTGCTCGTGTTACTTTTGCCCCAATAAAGGCAGAATAATGGAAATATACAGGTCATCCTATATATTTCAAAGGGGTTATACATTTTAAGTTGAGTCATATTTTAGCCAAAGAAAAAGCTTATAGACACCAGCTATTAAACTCTCAACCTCATCTTTCAAAGCTTTCTGACCTGGTTAAGTTACCGTAACGCGCTTTCTATTGAACGAAAACTATTTCACTAATACAACTTTGTCATTTGTTGACACTTTGTCACATCACTCCGTATAATATAAATGAATCCCTGTTACTATAGTAACTTTGCATATTGGCATCAAATATTCAGAATCCTGATGACTATTATTTAATAGTTATAGCTGGAAATGTGCTAAACAACGTTCACTTTTCTTAATGAAAACACTGACTTGACCTTTCCTCAGGGGGAAGCATCTGCTCAAATAAAACCAAAACCAGTGCTTTCCTTCAGATTATTACTAGTACAGTAACACAAATGCAAAAAAATAAATAAATAAAAAATAGACTTTGGAAATAAATGTTTTGCTCATAGTTAATATAATGAAACTGCATTTGTGTTTTGGTTTGTGTTTTATTTTATGTTCTGAACTCTTTTTCCATTTACGTTTTTTTTTTTTTTTTTACTGAATTAGTCTTAGTCTAAGTGTTTTCAACATAAACTAATTATGCATCTGTTTGGGTTTCATGTGTGAATTCAATGCAGGCACATTAAAAGTACCTTCAACATTGGAATTAGTTACTTGATAGGTGCAATGAATGCATGGTGCAGTGAGGTGCACATAAATGAGACACACAACCTCTGTGCTTAGTGTTGATCCATAGATTGAGCAACAATTATTAAAAAAAAAAAAATGTTCATAAAAGTATTCAACCTTTTGACATAATGACTTACTTTACATTTAAACAGCCATTTTTTTTATTGAGTAGACAAAGAGTTTTAACCTGCTCCTACAGAGTTCACTATTGAGAAGTCAAACTCAAAGTGATTGTCTACGCAAATGTTAATTGGCTTTGTTTAAACATTACAGCAGTTTCAGAACAACATATAGTTGAAATTAAAGTCAGGAAATTTAAGGGACATGGGTGATTGTGCAGCTGAAAATTCAGTCCCACAGCATAAATTGCTGCAGAACCTTTACAGATGCTAGAAAATATAGAAACAAATTCATAATCTGCACCAGTTTTTGATCTGCAGCCTGCAGCGAGAGCAAACAATAAAAAGTTATGAAGCACCTAAAGGGCGTTTGTTTGTTTTTCAAACTGAAACCATTTGTTTCTGTTAGTTGCTGTCAGCACTTGGTTGTAACTAATGGTTCATATATATTTTTCTCTCTCTCTCTCTCTCTCTCTCTTTCAGGTGGCATCCCATTTATCCTGACTGGGGAACTGTTTGAACAATCCTACAGGCCTGCTGCTTTCATGATCGCTGGCACTGTGAATTGGTTGTCCAACTTTGCTGTGGGCCTCTTATTCCCTTTCATTCAAGTAAGATCTGCTGTCTAAGCAAAAAGATGCACTCACTGTATATAATTTATGGTGTTGGCAGAGATTTGAATAATGCTAAAAAAAATAACCGTTGCAAGAGAAGGAACAGTAATCGACTGAAGTCATTGCCCAAAAGTCACTAAAATGTATCCATGGAGTGAAGTTTACACACACACACTATATATATTTATATGTATTGCAGTTACTTTTCAGTAAGAAAGTGTGTGGATTGATGAATGGATGTGAAGTGTTAATCTGAAATTAGTTATGTTAAATTGCAAACCTTATAATTTAAAATGCAATAACAACATACTGAAATATAACATTTTTCCACTGTACTTGTCTTGTCTCGATACACGTGGGTCCGAAAGGAGAATTTGAGTTCCAGGTTGAAACTAAAAAAAGTCCAATCTTTCACTGATTAATAAACACACCATAACAAATCACCACCAGATAGTGCAGAGTAACGTTAGTAAAGAGTCTGTGTCTGCTCCGTTTCAGGTGTTTGGAAAATCAATACAGAGAAAGTTCAGTAGGTGTAAGCCAATTAAAAGGACATGTAGAAACGTGTCCATGGTTCATTTAGCTGCAGGAGAAAAAGAGAGAGAGAGCAAGACTTTCAGCAGATAACAAGAAGGCTAAATGTATGGGAAAATTACATAAATGGAGTGTAGAAAAGTTGTTTTTTTTATCTTTTGAGCCTTTAGTAGGCTGTCACTGTTAAGGATTTGGAAACATTGACAGCCTACTGAAAGTCACGGTAAAGATCTATATTCTCTGGAAAATACAGAGGTTGCTGTTTTAGAAGTGCTGGTTGAACTGGTATCACCATCCTCACCTAGCTTCTGCCTGTGCCTCAAAAGGCTACACAAAGTCCCTTATCATTAGTTTTGTATGGCGTTTGGCTGAAAGAGACAGCTTTGTTTGAGTGGAGCTCCACACTCAAGCACAACACTTTATTGAACACTAACGGCTCTGCAAGGGAGCGTCTGGACCGTCGGCTGCTTTGCATAAGAACCATAGAAGAAGTGAGTGGAAAGCAGAGGAGGAAGGTTGAGCATGTATCAAAACCACATGGAGCATACATTAGAAGAATAAAGACCAGGGTCTGGATCATCCACCCGCTGATGGCAACCCAGACATTAGTATTCAGAGGAAATTGTGAAAATGGGTCATGTATTAGAAAAAAAAAAAAAAAACATGTTCAGATGCATATTTTAAGGTTTCGTTGTGTGACAGTAGCTGTTATTGACCTACCTATGAACTACAAACACACCAAGTACAAACAATTTGCTAAATAATTTCAAAAACATCTGCTAATGAATCAATATACTGAGTTTCTCATTCCTTCAGTTCTTGAAATTATCTGCAGCTGAATGTGACGGGGTTTGACAGCCAGGACTTTACTCTGGACATCACAGTAGATGCTCTCGGTATTGTGTCTATCCAAAAATATCCAAAAATACAAGATTTCTTAGCACTGAATTTCTTGAGCACAATTAGAGAAAAATGTCTTTCTGAATACCTTTCATTAAAAGACAGTTACAACTCTTTTTTGTTTTTTTGCTGTTTAATATAAGACCTGGCCAGAGCTTAGAAAAGACAAACATTAACTCTCCATTATTGCGACCGTGGTAATTGCTGCCTTAACTGGCACAGCTGGTAAAGCAAACAAGCCCAAGGGTTCAGTAAGGCGTTTGCTTTTATTTCCCAGCCAGGATTAAGGGACAAACTTTATTTGCCTTTTTAATGAGAAAACATCAGAGGCCTTGCATCACATGGAAGAAAGCATCAGACTTAAGGTGCTGGAATAAGTTATGCAATAAAATAAATATTACAGCTCAGGGAAGATAATTACATTTTAAAAGTCAGACGTCAGAGGAGTTTAAGATATGTCGTAAAATCATTAGTGTCATTATTTTTACTGGATGTTAGCATCAGTAAAGGCCGAATCATCGCCCAGATTTGAAATAAGAGTCACTGTGACGCTATTTATGCTGTAATGTTTGACCTGAGATGTTTTTTAAGAAAAATTGAGGACACTGTTGTGTTTTATGTTGCTGATTTGCTGTTTCGTCTGCAGAGTGTTTATAAGGTGAAATAGGCGAAAGGTGAAACATGGCAGGGTGATTAATACTTAGACAGGAGACCTGCTATTTTTACTGTGCTATGCACATACTGGGTTTATATTTTGTCTGTGATTTTGCTTTAAAAATAGCAATAAACATGTCCATGAGGCTGGAAAGCCTCCTTGACATCACCCCAGTCTTTATCTCTCTGCACATCAGGGAAAGTTAATGTTATTTCCAGTCAGGAGGAACATGTTGCTCAAATAAAAAGATAACTTTTCACTCAGAATGCGCTACACAAGAAAAACATAGATTAAGGATGTTATTCTGGCCTGTTGCAGAAATGCTTTGCATTACAACTTCCTCACATGTTCCTAACTACTCTACTCCAAGTTTTATGATTATGGGTTAATAAAATTTATATCAGCATCTGAATTGTTATATTCAGCTCAATATTTCTTTTAACTAGATCTTTGTGGTTTCATATCTCAGTGAATGATAAAACTAAACCTGCCAAAGGCCACAATTCAATAATTCCCACTCGATAAATGTCTTATTGAAAAGTTTATGTATTTCATTAACTTCATCACTAAATGAAGCATTTCTTAAAGATTAATTACACACAGACTGATGTTTTCAAACCTTGTCGTCCATTAATTGTGGTGTTTTCCAACTTACTGTTAATGAAAACATAACATTTAATTTTTAAGAAGATTTAGAAAAACAAAATCAAACCAATGACTGTTGCACTTCCTTATTAACCGGCTCAGGATTAAAAGCGATGGGTTTGCTTTAAACTTTTTACCACCTCGGTCTTTTTTTGAAGAAAAATGGAGACACAGCAAGAAGGCATCTGCTTGAATTGTTTTGTGAAATTAAATTTGGACAGAAACAGCAGAATGTTCAATCCTAAAAAAACAAACAAGAAAAAACATTTTCTGACCCAGTTTTCATTTGCATCTAAATCATTGAATTTTACCCGAGGTTTTAAATGTTCTCTGAAGAACTGTGGGTTGAATGTTGAGTGTTTTAAAGGCTTTGAGACAATGATAGTTCAGCAGACATCACTAGACAATCCTCAGGAAAATAAAGCTTCATTTTATTTTGCATGGGAAGAAGGCAAGACTTTTGGTCTCGGTTTAGTAACTTAAAATTTTAATGATGTGAGATTGCAGCAAAGGTCACTGCTTCCCATTTATCCTTTTTTTTTATGATTTATGGTCCTCTTTGAAGCACTCCACATTCCCCCAACGAGCCTGTTAAGATGTCCCAAGTTGTGAGCAAAGACCTTGGTTTAAGACAAAAACCGGCTGCTGCTGCAGGCTGCATGTCTACGTAACCAGTTATTGTCGATAAATCGTCTCTCTGCATTTTGCACTATTTTCACAGCTTTTGCTCCAGTTAAATCTGAGTTGTTCAGATCTTTGAATAATGTTGGGCTTCATTTTAAATATAACGGATGAAACATTGTTTTTGGCGATTTAATTTAACTATCCTACATATTTGGTAGGCAGGATAAATACAGTAAGTAGCCAGTGAGGCACAGATATATATATAGAGAGCTTTTATTGGAGTATGTTTACAAAAGCACCAGTTCCCATTCGGTCTAAAGAACCTGGAACTTAAATCAACTACAGCGAAAGAGCCCCTCCGTAGTTTCATTTTCTTATCAGCAGATACAGAAAACTGCTTTAGCTAGAGCACGCTGTAGTCTATTTCTTGCCGTCTTATCTCACACTCGGCTCGACGGCGAGCGAAAAATAAAACAAGTAGATTTAGACAACCTCTGGGCCGCGGAAATTAGATTTATTTCTCGGCTCATTCATCGTCTGTAGCGATAAGCTCAGCCGCTGTATTGCTTTTCTCAGATCCGGGCCAGACTGTCAGGACAGACAGCTGTAAAGAGATTAGATACTCTCGGTAATCTTCTCTTGAGTTTGTGGAGTCGAATGTCCTGAACTGACATTCCCTCGAGCGAGGCCCGGCGTGCAGCGGTACCCGTCGCAGAATCGGATCCGTGGCCCAGGTGAACATTTAACCTTTTAATCCAAATCAATATCCTCCAGAAGCCGGTGGGCGAGTCACCGACGAGAGCTAAGCCTCGTTATTTCCACACCATCACTGGCGGAAAATTTGGACAGACACTTCATTTTACAATTTATCCTCGGAAGAAAATTGAGAATAAAACGGCGATCAGTGAGCCGCATTGACACGTCCAGATCAAATTAAATATCATCCAAAGGATTTAGGCAGGCTTAGGTATCGGTCACACCTCAAAGGGCTCTACAAGGTAGAACGAGTGTGCTTTCTCACTTGAGGATTCCTGCATGTGTGTGTGCGTGCAATGACAGGAACGTCTTTTACTCACATTTTATTGTGGACTTTTTTTTCTCACAAAAAGTGAAACACTCTCGTACATCAGCGGGTAGCAAAACTGGGGGAAAAAATCCATAGATGCTTGTGTTAAATTTGGAAGATAATACATTTGTTTTGAGAGTGATTTTATTTTTGGCACTTAGAATTGGTTTTACACATCTATTAGATATTAGTCTAAAGCTACACTTGCTTTAGATTAACTAAGGCGAAAAGCAGAAAGAGACACTTTTTAAACATAACTTCCCTGTTACTCACCCAGGCCATTAAAAACGTTATCTTTCAAACATGTCTTCCTGCGCAAACAATTATGTAATCCCTTCACTATCTATGAGTAGTATTCATGTCGCAAAAACATGTAAATAAATATTATTTTACGCAAATTTCAGTTCTTCATCTGCCTTAGAGACCTTCCCAAAACTCTGTCCGTGGATTTGGGGAGAGTCTACTTTCTGGATTACACTAGTTTGGACTAAAAACATTTCTAACTGGAACAATACCTGCTTTGTGCCCAACTTGAAATATCATCCAAGATAAGAGGTGGTTGTATGTAAGAAG